TAAATAAATTCAGGCAGCTGACACAGTTATCACAGGAACATTTTGAATTTGTCTGGACCTCATTTATTTCTTATTGAATTTCTAGAACCTGATAATTAGTTTGAGGTAGGTTCTCTCAATATTTTACTATTGCTTAGAGATAAAAATAATATAGATTTCTCAAAAGTTTTTTATATGTATATATTTTCATAATACATAGATATGTGTATATACATACATATCTAGTGATAGCTCATTGCTTCTAGCCATTCTTGAAGACTTTTAAATATATTGAATTGGTACATTTGAAATAGAGAAGCTCTTATTTTGAATTTTCAAAAGTTTTAAAAACATTATTTCTGATTCCAAAAAATACTTATTTATTATGTTTTGTTAATTGGGATTATACTATATGTACATTTTGAGATCCTACTTTTTTCCCTACTTAATATTACATTATGACAATTCCCCATGTCATTCATTACTCTGAGGAGATTTTTAGTTTCTGAATAATATTATCATATATATATAACATAATGTGTGTAATTTGCCTCTATTTTTGGAGATTTAGATTATTTTACAATTTTTTACTGTTATTTGTAGAACTATGACAAAATCCTTGTCAGAAAAGTTACAAAACATATACTGCATGTATATATTTATCTTCTTTAAAACTTAAATACAGTTTAGTGATTAAAAATGTTTAATACATATCATGTTGAGTTGGCCTTTCAATGCTTAATATGTAACTAGAAACCACTTTTCTTCTACCAGGGCATAAAACCAGCCAGCTTCAATAAAGTCACTGATCCTGAAGTGAAAGAAATTATTGAGGGATGTATTCGTCAAAACAAATCTGAAAGGTGGGTGCAAGTGTAGTGAAATGACATAACTGATGGATGCATTTTTCTTTTATCTTGCAGTGGGTCATTTTCTGACCTTTCAATCATGCTAGGTATGATTTTTGAGTGCAAGCTAAACCATACTGTCTAGAATTAAGTGTATCAGTACATGTTATTTGCCCTTTTAGACTTTGATATCATGTGCTGAATTTTTCTTGAACCAACATTTGGGTTGTATTTGTGTATGTGTGTTGTAACATGCTTTTATTACTTTCAGCGGTCAGCTTAACTAACAGTCAGTAGGCCCTCACAAGTTAACTTGCTTCTAACAGATGAGAGTAGACAGATATTTTTTATTCGATCATACATCTTTGTGTCATGATAAAGCTAATATGGATATTTTTGTTCAAGAAATAGTATTCTAGATTTATTTATGTCATAATTCGTGTTTGTCTATGGACAACTCCCTTTAGTCTTAGCTTTCACTTCCCTTTAATTTGAGCTTTGGACAATTACCGACTTAAATTGGTGAGGTCATGTTTTGGTTTTTACCTCCTTATTGATGATGATTAATAAAGGTGACTTATCTTTTGTAGAAATTATTTCCACCAGCATTTCATTGACCCTCCCTGTTTTTATTAATATTAGTTTCCTATTTAGGTTTAGTGTTGTATATCTGAGAATATGTAAAGCCACAGAGGTAAGGCCTGTTTAATTATAGCTTTTTTTTTTACAAAACATTCTTCGTGTTTGTACAAACAGGCTACATCTAGGTATTTTTTAAAAAAAAATTTTGGTGCAATATGCACAACCTAAGCTTTACTTACCACAGTAGCTATTTTTAAGTATACAATTCAGTGGCATTAACTACATTCATATCGTTGTGTAACTGTTACCACTATTTATCTCCAGGATTTTTTCATCATTCTAGACAGGAACTCTGTACCCATTAAAAAATAACTCCCATCTCTTCTTCCCTCCAGTCCCTGGTAATCTTATTCTACTTTCTATCTTTATGAATTTGCCTATTTTAGGTACCTCATGTAAGTGGAGTCAAACAATATTTGTCCTTTTGTGGTTGGCTTATTTCATTTATCATAGCATTTTCAAGGTTGATCCAGGTTGTAGCATGTATCAATTTCCTTTTTACGGCTGAATAATATTCCATTGTACGTATATACCACATTTTGTTTACCCATTCACCTGTTGATGGACACTTGGGTTACTTCCTTACTTCCACCTTTTGGCTTTTGTGAATAATGTTGCATGTATATTGGTGTACAAGTATCTGTTTGAGTCCCTGCTTTCAATTCTTTGCGGGGTATATACCTAGGAATGGAATTGCTGGGTCATATGGTAATATATTTAATTTTTTGAAGAACCACCGAACTTTTTCCACAGTAGCTATACTATTTGTCATTCCTGACAGCAGGTTACAAAGGTTCTAATTTCTCAACATCCTCACCAACACTTGTTATTTGCTGTTTTTTGATATTAGCCATCCTAATTGGTATGAAGTGGTATCTTATTGTGGTTTTGATTTGCATTTCCCTAATGATATAGAATACCTTTTCATATACTTATTGGCCATTTGTATATCTTTGGAGAAATATCTATTCAAGTCCTTTGCCTATTTTTAATTGTTTTGTTTCTGTTGTCGTTTTTATTGTTGTTGAGTTATAGGAGTTTAGGCATGCTTTTTAAAATGAGGCTAAAAATGCTATGTAGAAGCAGCTGTTTTAGTTTGGATTCTGATTGTTGTTTGTACAGCCTTTTAATTATGATCTGTTACCAAAGAACATTGAAATATTCAAAAGGATTGATGGCATATTAGTGTATTGGAAAAAGCACAGGATTAAACATCAGATTAAGAATCAAATCTGGACTGACACTTAGCAGTGTGATCTTGAGCAAATTACTTAGTTCTTCAAAACAGATATTATTTTGTTGATTTTTTTAAAAGTATACATCATTATGTATTTAGTTTATTTTTATTTCAATAGATTTAGAGGTACAAGTGGTTTTTGATTACATGATGAATTGTGTAGTGGTGACGTCTGGGTTTTTAGTGTACCTGTTGCCTGAATAGTATACATTGCGCCCAATATGTAGTTTTTCTTCCGTCACTCCCCTTCCATCCTCCCCGCTTCTGAGTCTCCAATGTCCATTGTACCATTCAAAACAGATTTTTTTTTTTTTGAGACAGAGTCTCACTCTGTTTCCCGGGCTAGAGTGCTGTGGCGTCAGCCTAGCTCACAGCAACCTCAAACTCCTGGGCTCAAGTGATCCTCCTGCCTCAGCCTCCCGAGTAGCTGGGACTATAAGCATGCACCACCATGCCCGGCTAATTTTTTCTATATGTTTTTAGTTGTCCAGCTAATTTCTTTCTATTTTTAGTAGAGACGGGGTCTCACTCTTGCTCAGGCTGGTCTCGAACTCCTGAGCTCAAACAATCCGCCCGCCTCAGCCTCCCAAAGTGCTAGGATTACAGGCGTGAGCCACCGCGCCCAGCCTCGAAACAGATATTATTTTGATGACTAAAAGGATAATGAATGTATAATATATAAAATACCTAACAATAATAGGTAGTCAATAAATAGTATTTTCTGCTATTGTTATAATTCTTGTTACAATTATTTGTCAGTAAAAATACTTAGAGAAAATTTTCATTGAGAGGCCGAGGGCTGAACTCGGTTGTGCCTTCTTAAATGCATCTCACTTTAGCAAGCTTGTTATTTTTATGACAGTCTTAGTTAAATATTTGTCTCTCAATCACTAGAAATGTAGAGGGTTGAAAATCCTCAACTTGGAGGATAACATGCTGTCTATATGCTTTTTCTGTTTAAGTATTACAGGAGGGGCTCTCTATGTAGGCATTATGGAATACATCAGTTTCAGCTCTCCCTAGCCTGTAATACAGATAGATTAAATATTATATATCTGTTTCAAAAATTTGTAAAAGTAAATTAACTTCCCTCCCTTGTAAAAGGATCCTTTGCAGCCATGTCCATTGTTTCTCTTCAGAGATGGTTAATCCCTGATATTAGGCTAGAGTTGTATCCATTATATATTCTGGCCTAAAACCAGAGTTAAATACTTTAAGAAAACCACTGGACTTTGCCAAACCACATTAGCTTTACCCATGGCATTCTCTAAAGAGTAAAGTATACTGACTAGATTATTGTTAATGGAGTCAATGACTTCCATTTATAACATTTATAAAAGAGTTAGAATTTCTAATTTATTTTAGAGTTTATATATATGCAAGAGTTTTTAGTTTCCTCTGCTGAGAATCTGTTGTCCGAGTCTGAGTAACTTAAGCAAGTGGCTTAGGGAAGCTAATCAATCCATCGAACATGTACTGTAGTACATCTCCAGTTTTCTCTAGGCATACTTTTAAGTATCTTAAACTTCGTTATCTAGATATATTACTGGTAATAATCTTGAATTAAGATCATTATATAAGCATGTTAGTTGGGATTTCTTTGCATCCCTGGTAATAAGTGAAGTATAAGGTTTGGTTTTTATAACCAGGCAGATAATGATTTAATTAATAGGAAATTTAAAATGAGGTTGTTGCATTGATACAATTAATTTTTGTTAATTAGAGGATCTACATCTTGGCTATGATTGGAATAATTGATAATGAGATATGTATTTTGCTTATTAGGTTGTCTATCAGGGACCTACTAAACCACGCATTTTTTGCTGAGGATACAGGACTGAGGGTGGAGTTAGCAGATGATGATGATTGCTCAAATTCATCCTTGGCTTTACGACTCTGGGTTGAAGACCCTAAAAAATTGAAAGGCAAACACAAAGACAATGAAGCTATTGAATTCAGTTTCAATTTAGAAACAGATACACCTGAGGAAGTGGCATATGAAATGGTAAGTAAATCCTACACTTGTTCCCCCTGCCCCTTATAGTATCAAGATTGATTCCTTTCTCCTTCTCATTGCTTTCTTTCCTCTCATTTTCTCCTTTTTAAAAAATTTAAATTGTTATATTACTGTGAAATGTTTTCTCTATAACAGCATATTAAATTTGTATGCACAGTATAAAGAATAATAAAACACTACCTTTGTTGAGAAATAGAACATGACCAATACCTTAGAAGCCACCCATGTGCCCCTCCCAGTTGCATTTTCCTGCCTCATCACCACAAGTAATATCTACCCTGACTTCTGCGTTACTCATTTCTTTGCTTTGCTTTTCATTACAGTTTACCTAAGTAATATATTGTTTTGTTTTGAAGTCCTAAATGACAAGCACACACCTAGCTGGTTATGGAAGGGGCGATGTTGGTATGATTAGGTGAAGAATCCCAGGAGGGGATAAGCTGAAGAGAATCTCTTGGTCACAGTCTGCCTTCAGTTTCCCTAAGAGTTTATAAGAGCCGCTTTCTGAAGAAGTCAGAGGGTAAGGTCATGAGTGAGTCCAGCGAAATAAACCCATGGCTCAGCACAGTCAGGGGACCGCTAAGGCTATTGTGCAGACCAAAAATTAGTTGTCTGGTAACCACGTAGTTTGACAGGGAGTGGGCCTCTCTGACTCTTCCTTTCTCATCTCCCTGTGACCAGCCCCAACCCTCAATAGTAGATCACAGCAGGTAACTTCTGTGGGGTGAAACGCATGTCCACACCTGCTCCAGGCAAGTGCAGTGCTGATGGGAGGGGCATGCAGGAGCTGCAGCAGCATGTGGTCAAGACCAGGCAGTACAGACCATCTGAGCCAGGCTCACCTGGGCATTCTGGTCTTAAGTTAAAAAGAAAGATGGGACAATGACAGTGGGGATCTTGGAGATGATAGCCTTTAACATGTCTGTTTTTCTGGTTTGGTTACATTGTTCTAATGTAGAATGATTACTTTGGGCATCTGATGTACAGCTACCACCCTGGTATTTCCCTTTATTATCTTCCTAGACTTCTCTTCCTAGACTTCATTCACTGCTGTTTTGAATTTCATATTTCCTAAATCTCATGTATTTCTCTTTCTTGGCTTATCATTTTATTTCAGTGGCACACTTGCTATGCTAGTTTCTTATGAAAAGGCCCATGGAAGATAAATTCTTTGAGACTTGCATGTATGAAAATGCCTTTTTTGTATCTTTGTATTTAATCAATCATTTGGCTGGCTACAGCATTTTAGGTTGACAATTTTTTTTATAAATCTGGAGTCATTGCTCCATGCTCTTCTACCTTTCAGTATTGCTGTTGAGAAGTCCAGAGTCATTCTGATTCCTGATCTTTTGAATGTGACTCATTGCTTTCCACTCTGGAAGCTTGTAATATCTTCTCTTTCTCCTCAGTCTTCTAAAACTTCAATGATGTATCCCTTTTTTTTATGTATTTAAGGATTTTTATTGTGTATGTATCCAAAGATCACTGAAAGCTTATGCAAGTCTTTCTCTTTACAGTCATTTAATCTTTTTAATGAAGTGGTTTAAAGTATTTACCGCCCAATATATTATCTCCTTTACATAAACTCATATCAGGGCTATCCAACTTCTATCAAATGGCATACTGGATTCCTACATGTTTGGGCTCTGCATTAAAAAACAAAGTCCGACCTCTAAGAGATTAGTTTCACTGAAGAACAGCAGGGCTTACCTATTTTCTTTTTAGTATGGCTGATTAAAGAAAGTTAAATTGAGGAAAAGGGAATTTCAATTCAATTAAAATAAAGTCTCTTTCGAGTAACTGTCTGACAGTGAGATAGGATGCTCAGAGGTGGTTATCATTCTGCTCAAGTGACAGAAGCTGCGAGCTAAGAATTATAGTCAATGAAACTAATGGTAAAGAATGTTAATTCTAAGAGGCCAAGAGAAGAACCTGATTTTGATCAAATTATGATAGGAGATAATGGAATATTCTCCTATGGAAATATATGTATTGTGAGATACTGGTGAACCTTTCAAGATAAAGAATTCTGCAAATTTCTGTAATAGTGGAGTAGATAGAGGATAATGTTTATCCTACTGTTCAGAACTGCAAGTTAAAGCCTAATCGTAAACTTGAAAATAACAAAGAATTCTTAGGACACTATCCCTAAAACACAGTGTTTGGAAGCTAAATACATTTCCTGAGGTACTCACTTAAAAAATAATAAGATATGTCATAAAATATGTTTAGATTCCTCAAAGTACACATAGGAGTTAAGTATTTAAAATTTTAAAGCTTAAAATATTATTGCATTACTAACACATTTTTTTGCAATTGCAAACTTTTTGTGATTATTTTATAACTTGGCAGAATGTAACTGGGAAGTGCATTTGATGGTATTTTTTTCATATTCAGCACATTTATTAAGTACCTATCAGGTGCAAACCACTGTGTTGGGTACTCTTATAGAAGGATAAAACAGACTCTGACAGCCTCAAAAAGCTTATCACCCTGTAAGAAAGATGTGTAAATTACATACCACTTTCATATGTACTACTTCCAAAAGTAATTTGGAGTAAGTTGGTTAAAACAAGCAAACAAATCCATACCCATGCCATTTAAGTCTTGTAATGAATCACGAAAATAATTAAGAACCTGAGGCCACAATTTAATACTAATTCCACGGGGGACAGGAGTACGCCTAGATCACTGTTTTATGGCACCGTTTTATCGGCGGTGTTAAATGAAGTCCGTCTTTAATCAGGATTATCTTTAACTCTACTAAAAAGTGTTATAGAAAGAGCACTCATACTTTTGTAAAATTCCAAGCTGAGCTCAAAGACGATACCCGTAAAATGCAAAGTCATTCCCGAGAGCCTGAGGATAGGAGGATGAAGCAGATGCCGTCAAGATACTGGTCAAAACCAGGATGCCAAGTATGAGAGGATACTTCTCCCCTACTGCTTTCTCTGGTCTTTGTAAGAGTATATGAACATTTCTCCTTTTTGTTTCACTAAAGAATAAAGTAATGAGATGAGAGGAATAATATAAAAGATAAATAATAATTCCTAGGTAAAGAAATGGAACAGCTTCTCAAACTCAATGACTTAAAGTGGCTCAAAGGACTGGAACTGAAGGAGGAACACTAACCTTCTTTAATCTTCACCTTCATTGCTTCTGCCAGTGATGTATCTTGATTTGGGTCTATATTCCATCCACTGTTTTGGATACTCAGTGGACCCTTTCAATCTGTCAATTCATATCCTTTAGTTTCTGGGAAATTTCTTGAAGTATTTTGTTGATCACTTCTTTGTTTTCCCTTTCTGGAATTGGTATTATTTGGATTTGGGGCCTCTTGGATTGGTTCTCCAGTGTTCTTTTCTATTTTCCACTTCTTTGTCTATTTAATCCCCTTTCTGGCAGATATTATCACCTTTACTTCCTAACCCTTCTATTGAGATTTTCATTTCTGGTATCATGTTTTGAATTTCAAGAGTCTGTTTTCATTTTTCATCCATTCCTTTTTTAGAGTAAACTTCTTGTTCTTTGTTTTGTAGATACAATATTAGTCTCATCTTTCTAAAGTTAGTGTTTTCGACATTGTTTCTCCCTGCATAGTCTGTTTCCTCCAAGTTGTTGTTGTTTTCCTTTGCTGGTTTGTGTTCTGTCTTCTTGTTAGAGGCTTTTCTCATATTTCTGGTAATTCTTGGCTGTCTGCTCATGATTAATAGTAGGAGACTATTAGTTTTCTATTGCTGTGTAACAAACTACAACAAATTTAGTTGCTTAAAACAATACCCATTTATTATTTCACAGTCCTGTAGGTCAGAGTCCTGGTGGGCTTGGCTGGATTCTCTGCTTAGGATCTCACAATGCCAAAATCAAGGTGTTGGCTGGTCTGGGCTCTTATCTAGAAGCTCTGGGGGGAATCTGCTTTCAGACTTACCCAGGTTGTTGGCAGAATTCAATTCCACATACTTGTAAGACTGAGGTCCCTGGTTTTTTTGCTGGTTGTTAGCCAGGGGGCCACTTTCAGCTCTTAGAGGCTGCTCTTCAGTCCTTTCATGTGCCTCCACTCATCTTCAGAGCCAGCAATGGCATGCTGAATCCTTCTAATATCATCAACTGGTAAAAGATTTACCCAGATAATCTCCCTAGCTTAAGGGCAACTGTGCTATATAGCAAACACAATGATGGGTGTGATATCTCATCATATTCACAGGTTTGATGACTAAGAGGGGACATCTTTGAGGGGCCATAATTTTGCCTACCACAGGACTAATAAGCTGATGGTTGGTGTGATTGCCTGTATAGGACTTATTAACTTTAACATTTACTATAGGGTATCTGGGTGGTCTGTTAATTGGGGAATCTCTGATACCAGAATTTATAAGTCTTTCATCTTGGGTTGGTTAGATTCCTTAGAGAAGCATCTTTCAATCTATTTCTTGGAGGATAAAGGTTCGGTTACTGGTATTTTGGTAGCCAAGTAGGAAAGAAGGTTGGGCGTTTCTGCATTTGGCATTCAGCTGCATATGGTCACAGACTTGTGGGGTAGGGGAGAAGCAATCACCCAAAGGTGTGGAATGGAGGGTGGGATGCAGGGACCTAAGTAACTGCTTCTTGAAACCCTTTCACTTACTCTTCCTTATTTAGCCATCTCTTTTGACTTCACCCTCAGTTCTGGAAGTACCTAGTATTGCCAGTTCCTGTGCCTTATGAGTATTCTTCAGTATACGTGGGAATGATTCTCCGTTTTCCTTTGTTTACCTTTCTCAGGTCTGGCAGGTCAATTATTACTTGTCTTATTTATTTTCCATATTCTAAGGTGTCCAAAATCTTATTGCTGTTGTCTTTCTCTTGTTCGCCCTGTCATTGTGGGTTTATAACTTAAAAATCCATTTACTATGGGGTTTTCTTTTTTGAGCCTTAGGAGGGAGCAGAATTAAATATCTGTGCCCCATTTAACATTTTAATCATCTTTCAACTACCATGAAATTTCCCAGAGTCTGCAGACCTCCAATACATTCTTTAAAAAGCAGATTGTGGGACTGAAAATGATATGTCATGATACCTCAAGTGAGCTTCTCTGATGCTCAGCCCTACTTCTGAGACAAGGCAGAACACTTTCCTTTTCTCACTCTTCTAATGTCTAGTAAGATGTAGTACTTTGCTATGAGCATACTTCCCTCTGCCTAAAATGTTGGTCTCCACTCCGGATTTTATCTGCACCTCCCTCAATAGCCTGAAAGTTTCTTTTTTGGCTTTAATCCGGGTCAGAATTTACCTTCTGCTGTGACACTTTCTCTATTCCCTCCAGAGAGGCATATGCTCCTACTTTAGGGCTATTGCAGCAGCTCATTTCTACCTCATTTTAAGTTTATGGCCATCTCACACAACCAAATTGTGTGTTCATACAGGACATACAAAGGACCAACTTAGTCACCTGTATTTCTTTCTTGTCCAGTACTGGGCACATTATAGACACTTAATGTTGCTGAATGAGGAAACCTTTTTAATCTTCTACAAACCTTAATGGCAGTCATAAATTACCTGTAATAAGGCTGCATGTACTGAAACATCAAGTTTTTTTTGTTTTTGTTTAAAGCCAGAATCATTTTAACAATGCTTGCTAAAACTATTGATTTTCTCATGCCAATTAAAGTCTTTGGCATTTATGTTTGTCTTTGATTAAGGGAGACTATAGAAACAAATTAACTGTTATTTAATAGTGTTTGGAATTTGGGGGCATAAAATAACTCTACTAGTAAAATAAAAGTTAACATTTTAAATGTTAAAGAAGTAGTTTGCTTATTATGTATGTTTTGTTTGTAGGTAAAGTCTGGATTCTTCCATGAAAGTGATTCCAAAGCCGTTGCTAAATCCATTAGAGACCGGGTGACCCTGATAAAGAAGACGAGGGAGAAGAAACCTGCTGGCTGTTTGGAAGAACGCAGGGATTCCCAGTGCAAGTCTATGGGGAATGTAGTCCCTCAGCACCAGAATACAACTTTGCCCCCTGCTCCTGCTCAGCAGGCTGGGGCTGAATGTGAGGAAACTGAAGTTGATCAACATGTTCGACAACAGCTTCTACAAAGAAAACCACAGCAGCACTGCTCCTCAGTTACAGGTAACACCATTATAATTTGTAAAAGCAAACCAATATGCAACTGTATTCTATAATCTTTATTTTTTTGGGAGGGGGCAGTGGTCAATGCCCTATTTTTTTTTTCTTTTTATGTATTCCCTTATTTTTAAATAGCACTTTTGTGTTTTTCAAAGCATTCTATTATCTATCATTTCAGCAAGGGTTTTACAAAACCCCTGAAATAGGAGAGCTAGTTGCTTTATTTTAAAATTAAGAAACTGTTTTGTTAAGTGACTTGTCTAAGGTGCTAGTTGCATAAGAATTATAATCTAGCATCTGATTTTATTTAGGGAATAAATAAAATGACTTAACATTCTTGAGGGTCTAACATGAATCTTTTTTTTTTTTTTTTTTTTTTTGAGGCAGAGTCGCACTCTCTTGCCTGGGCTAGAGTGCCGTGGCGTCAGCCTAGCTCACAGCAACCTCAGACTCCTGTGCTCAAGCGATCCTCCTGCCTCAGCCTCCCGAGTAGCTGTGGAGTTGATTTTTATATGATTCTTTGTTTTTAGGTTTGCTTTACTGAGAGAATTTTAGCTATACCACAATGTCAACATTTCATTGCACGATGTTTTTTGATTAATTCTACAGTATTCATATTTTATTTGAAGCTGTTGTGGGTTGTCAGAGTAAAAAAAAAACCATTAAAGAAACACTTATCATTACCTATACCATTTGGACATTGTGCTTCGAGTTTTCCCTTCTACCTGTTGCTTATTTTCTTTGTTATAGGTGACAATTTGTCTGAGGCAGGAGCTGGATCAGTTATACATTCGGATACTTCCAGTCAGCCCAGTATAGCCTATTCCTCAAACCAGACGACGAGCTCTCAAATGGTTTCTAACATCCCACAAGCCGAAATGAATGTTCCAGGGAAAATTTACCCATCTCAGCAACTAGTAGGACATTACCAGCAAATTTCAGGGGTGAGGTGAACTGTTATTTATTTTTAAATGTGCAGTCAGTATATTTACTGTAAATGGGGGAGTTTATCTTTAATCTTTTTTTTTTTCTTATTTAACAGTTGCAGAAGCAGCCAAAGCTGACTCAGCCCCATATTTTGCCTTTGGTTCAAGGTCAGTCCACTGTTTTGCCTGTACATGTCCTTGGACCTACAGTTGTTTCACAACCCCAAGTTTCCCCATTAACTGTCCAGAAGGTCTCACAGATAAAGGTAGGACACATTTTAGAGGCTCTGTATTCATTTAAACAAATTTAACACTGCCTTTATTTTCTGACAGGCAAAGGTTCTCTTTCATAAATTCAGCATAGTTTAGATAAAGGTCATTGAAAGCTAAGTTTTTTATGTTTTCCTTCACCTAAGACAATGCTCTTGAGGATGTGCCTAATATTGTATAACTAGAATCTTGAGACACTGCTTGTATAATTGGAGAAGAAACAGAGAACTCAGTATATATGGACAAACGATTTATTTAGGGCTCTGTTCTCTTCCTCTTGGTAATGATGGTTTGTTCTTTGTATTGAACTTTCCAGCCTGGTTTGAATGTGGAGGGATGTCTATTGCAGTTAATTAGAAATAGTATTTCATAGACTTTCATAATTTTTAGTATGTTCATCTAAATTCTTGACTTGTTTGGGTTCATGTTTATTTCTGTGGGAGAAGTAAGTGTTTTTGTCTTTCAGACTCCTAAAGTCAGCATTATTCAATTCTGACAATGAGTAAACAGTCTTTGTGTGAGTTCATATATCAAGACTGTGTCCTGGTTCCCTAGGTTATGGACTCTGGACATATGGTTGGGCTCTTCTTTGTCATCACCCTGTTTCTCCCCTTAGCCCCCACCAATCATACCCTATGTGTGCTTTCCCTCTCTGGGAGTGAGATAGTTCAAGCTCCTGGACATTCTCTGTTTAGCTAGCATGCTGTAGTTTAGAATGCAGCTAAACAGAGAATGCCTGGTTTAGCTAGCAGTTGGTACATCTTTAAGAGATTGGTATATAGTCAGTCATAGTTCATCAGCAAACTTTTAATGACTACCACCACCTTCTGGGGATATGAAGTAAAATAAAATATGATTCTTGCCCTCAAGGAGCTCAGTATTGTAGGGGAAAGCATACACGTACTTGACAAATGCCAGATGCATTTAAAATCTGCTGGGGATAGATTTGGTCTGATAGAATTGAAGGTGCCTGGTATTTGGCTAGTGTTGATAAGTGATATGGTATATATCTATAATTGAGCTCATTGCAGTTTGATATGTCTCTTTCTAAGCCTATAATGCAAAGTGCATTGAATGGGTGCTTAAATTTAACTTAGGTTCAACCACACAAGTATATAGGTATGTGTATTTTAAACTGTGTTTCAGAAATTTAAAAAAAAAATTTAAAAATGAAAGTGTTATTTGCTTATTTAAAAATAAAGGCCATAAAGTTATAAAGAAGAAAGTGAAAATCACGTGTTATCTCTCCAGCTAGAGATAACTTATTGTTTATGTTCGAGGTATAACTTCTAGATTTGTCTTTTTTTCTATGTACACATATATAATTTTGTTTATAAGTGCATATATATATTATATGCATACTATTTTTTATAGCCTGCCTTTCATATACTATGTAGAAACCACATAAGCACCTTGACCATTTTGGTCTTTTTGTGAGCATGGTCGCCCAAGTTCTAGGAAATTATTGCAGCCAATCTATATTTATTTCTACCAACTCTTCTCCTCCCTTCTTGAGGGAATGTCTACATTCATTTTAGCTATGATATTGAAATCCTTTGTACTTTCTCTTGGGACTCCCACTATTGGGTGTGTGAAAGTATCAGATTCAAATACTTTGAATCTCTGCCAGGGTTCGAATGAGTTATGTGGTAAGTGCCATGAGCAGTATATTGCTGTGACTGGTCTCAGCCCCTTAGTGCATTTAACTAGCATTTATTCATGTTATTGGGATTTTTATAGGACTAATGCTATACTTAGCACCTTTTTGATAACTTGCTGAGATTTTTAGAGCATAGCATTATTTTATCTATCAATCTGTCTGGGACAGTCCCATTAAAATGGGCATAGTATATGCATTTATAATTTGAATGTTCTTGCACCAGCACCAGGAACTGCATCTGGCCTTTGGAGCAGATGGACAAACTTCAGCCCAACCTAAGACTTTAGACTTTTCAGTTACTGGAGTTCCACAACCAATCCTTTCTACAGTTTCTTCTCAGACATTGCCTGCTTCCCAGATGACTTCCCAGCATCCAAAAATTGATCTTCAGCTTGAGCCTGGTCCTAGAAATGGGAATCAGACATTAACCAAAGCACCAGATGACAATCAGACTTCTAGTTTCTTACTGGTTAATCACCCTCAACCATTGTCAAATCATTCTTCTGCCCAGTATGTGAGCAGTGCACAGAATGCTGCTGGTACAGTTCAGCTCCCTTCTGATTCCATCTGGGGGCATTTAGGTGCCCATCAGCCTTTACAAAAGATACATTCAGTATCACAGCCATACCTAGTGGTACCTTAGGAGTCTATAATTCCAAGTTCTTCAGTGCCACAAAGCCAGACTGTGCATTTGAAGGAGCCTTGTTTCCAAGCCTCTATTCAGCAGCAGCCATTAATTTTACAACCTAAGATTATGGCATCGCCACAGAAAAATGTTCAGCAGGATTGTATTCTGCAAGAGCCTGAAGCTCTTGCAAGTCAGCAGCAGCCAAAGGGTAGTATTGAAAGTGTGATTCAGCCCCTGGAATGGCCACCTTACTGTGTTCAACACACTTATCCAGGGCCACCTACAGAACTACCATCCTTCTCATTGAAGGCTCCTGTGCAGCTGCCCTTTGTGATATGTCCCCAGGAACAAACTTCTTACTCATCACAGCCAACTTACCCAATCCAGGCTCTAGCATACCCTGTTTATTCACTGCCAGCCCTGGAGCATCCTCTTTACACTGTACAACCACCAGGATCACAGCCAGCCTATTCTATGCAGACTTCTTATCCAGTCCCACCTACAGTACAGCCCTATTATTTGGCACCAGCCCAAGGGCAGCCTGCTTATCTAGTGCAACCTCCAGTTTGGTCACATTTTCCAGACCAGCCAGCATATGTGATCCAGGCAGCTTACCCTGTGCAACCTATGGAACAGCCTGCTTATCAGGCACTACCTCTTGAGCATGTCTCTTATTCAGGACAAATTGCTTACACCATCCAGACAACTGAACAGGCAACCTTCATAACTCAGCAAATATATACAATAAACCCTCCTGATAATAAGCAAGTACATGTTACAAATTCTGCAGAACAGAAGTTATACTCTGTATCACCTTTTGTAGCACAAACTTCTGAGCAACAAGCCTATTTAACACAACCCCAAGGTAGTTCTTCTTTAGCATTGGAACAACAAAAGATGCATTTAATATCAACGTTAGATACACAGATGTGTTCTGCTGAACCTTTGTTTAATGTCCAGCATTCAGTGACTCGATCCCAAGCAGATTCCAGTTTTGGACATCAACAGCTAAAAGCTCAGGCCCAGTCAACTAGCATTACATATCAGAGGACAGTGGAAGGACAGCTTCAAAACCCTGGGCAGATGTCCTTCATTCAGCAGGCCTCTTCACAGGCCCGGATCCAGTCCCCGCATTTTTTAGTACAGCTTTCCCAATCACATCTAACACCAAGCCAGGTTTCTCACTCAGCTTTCATTCAGCATCAGCAGATGACTCATTCATCTCATAGACAAGCACAGAAAACCCATAAGTTGTCCACTCAAGAAGGTCCCGTAAATCAACAGCAATCTTTGTGTAGTCAGTGTGCTGCTCTCCAGCAGCAGGTACTTCATTCACAGGCACCTAACCAAGTTCAGCCATTACCAGGTATCCCAAAGACCATTACCCACATGGTCCAGATTATACCTCCTTTGCAAGAACATTTGCAACTGGCGGCAGTGGAACAACAATATGTAATGCAGCCTTTAGAGCAGCCTCAAGTGCTTCAGGCATTAGACAACAGTCAAACTTTTCCCCTACAGAAAAACCTAGCACAGCATCAGCCAGCATACATCCAGCAGCAGTCTGCTGACTAGCCACAGTGGCAAGCATCTTCTAGCTTAGTGCCCATTTCTGGGTCATCAGAACCACAATTACAATAGCAGACCCTCTATCAAAGCTCTGGGATAGCCCTTCCAAATCAGCTGTCTTCTGTTCATCTCCTGACACTTAGCATTCCAGTACAGGCTTCCACTGCCTTTCAGAGCATTTCTGTGTTACAGACACAGCAGCATTTACCAGGCCAAGAAATTCTAAAGGTAAATCCTCCTGCGGGAAAATGTGAATGATTGTGATTTTTCTGTAATGTTCAAGGGTCAGGAAGATAGTGAACTATAATAGAAATAGCACTGTATTGGGAGTCACAGTCCCTGTTCTGGCTCTTTTCCATACTCACTTGGTGATCTTGATTCAAGTCTCTCCTAAGTTTCCTCATATGTAAAGTGAAGGGATTAGACCAGATGATGAAAACAAAAACAACAAAATATTTGAGCACCTACTTGGGATATTATCAATGAATAAAATACAAAAATCCCTTCTGTCATTGAATTTTGTTGTCTAATGAGGAAAGACTGCCAATACCTATTATAAGAAAATAAATATACAGTATAAGGAGCTTTCGGGAAAATACAGAGCAGGGCAAGGAGGAAAGTGGGTTGCAGTTTTAAAGAAGATGGCCATCAGAGTAGGTCTTATTGAGAAGGTAACATTTGAGCAGATACTTGAAGGAGGTGAGACAGTCAGCAATACACATTTTAGGCAGAGGGAATAATGGGTGCAAAGGCCCTAAGGAAGGAATGTGTTTGACGTGTTTGAAGAATAGCAAGGAGACCAGTGTAGCTTTCCAAGATCTTTTAGTCCTAAATATTAGGAGCCTATGGTTCTCTTATTGTTCTACATTTATAGTAAAGCATTTGCTTTCCATTCTTGAGAAACTGCACTTAGGATAATGGTCTCCAGTTCCCTTTGTGAGATAAAAATTAACACTGTCGAGTGATTCTTATGTGACAAATACTATTCTAAAGGCATTACATGCATTATCCTCACACCAACTCTAGGAATACTATAATTATCTCTGTTTACAAGTGAGGAAACTGAGGTTCAAAGAGGTTAAGTAATTTTCCCAGTGCCATACAGGAGAGCTAGATTTGAACCCAGCATACTTAGTCAT